TATTTGAAAATTTTGAAAAATTCTTTTTATTAAAGTAAATAATTTGGAGGATATAAATGAATAATTTGGCTTGTTAGAAAAATTTAAGTTAGTTCTAAAATATTTAATTTTGGGTTATAAGAGTTGTGAGAATTTAGAATAGAAGTTAAATTAAATTAAATTAGAAATTTAACTAATACATATAAGCTTAATTAATTAGATTATGATAATATGTGGTTATATTAATTGTGTAGATTAATTATTCGGTTATTGGTTTGAGCACATGGTTGACTTCGTGGCAATCCTTTTTATAGCCTTGGTGAAAGGTAACCACTTTCCACTTGTTATGTATGCTTGTATAATGTTTGTGAGTGATTTTGAATTACATGAGATTCTTGAAATGCCCTTGGGATATGATTTGAACAATGAAATGTATTATTGTTGAAATTATCTTGAGATGCTTCATGTTATTAAAAAATAGTTATGAAATTATGAATCTATAAAGTTGTTATATGGGACACAAATTTATTAAGAAATAGTTTTGAGAATTGATGTTAATTATTGAAATTTAGAAATTTTGATTTTGGTAAATGTAAAAGTTATTATGTTATTGGTAACTAATTATTTTATAAATTTTATGAGTATAAATACGAGAGAGGATGGTGAATGTTGATTGATGAGAGACATATTATAGAGGAAATAAGGGGGTAAATTTTGTATATATTATAGAGGTAATATGGTGGTAGGATGCCAAATGCATACTGGTTGATCCCTTCGCCCTTTCGTGTGTTGTAAGGCACATGACACCCTGTTAGTAGACCAAAGGGGGAACCCATAGTCCGGTCTTGTACTCTATGGATTTTGGCCTGTTCACATCACTTGACCAGTGTGCTTCACTACAAAAAAAAACAGTCTATTAGCGACGAAAAAAAATTCCGTTGCTAATTTCCAACGAAATATTTTCCGTCGCTAATTTCTAATGGAATTTTGACAAAAATTCCGTCGGTAATTTTTTTGACGGATTTGGGATGGATTTCTAACGGACTTTAGTGACGGAATAGTTCCGTCGCAAATTCCGTCAGTAAATAGGCTTAGCGACGGAATTTTGCGACGAAATATTTCCATCGCTAATTTCTACTCCTATTTTGTGACAGATTTTCTAACAGAATTTGTTTCTGTCGCAAAATTCTGTCACAAAATCCATCGCTAACATGAAATTCACAAAATTCTACATTATGATTATAAAATTTGAAAAATTTATATAATATAATAGTGTAATTATTTAGACATGTATTTTAACAATTGATATATCTATATATATAAAATATAATAGTTTAATTATTTATACATATTTTCTGTTGGGAAATAGAAGAAAATTGATATCCTTATTAGGCACTTTTTTGAAATTGATTATATTTTTTTGAGCTTGTGAACTTAAATTAAAAATCTGAATATAATTCGTAATATGATTTTATTTTCTTGTTACAGTATGATTAATTTTTTTGTCAGATTGCTGCTCTTTCTTTCAACATTAGTGTCAAATAAGTGTCTTTAGATATGATAAGATATGTGAAAAGTTTCTTTAGATATGATGAGATATGTGGAAAGCGTAAAGACATGTTGAACTTTTACCTAATTGATAACTTATTTAACAACATATTGAAATATTATTTATTGACTTATTTTCATTGAATGAATAATAAGGGCGCCATAAACTATAGAGTTAAGTTGAAAACCTAATAACGAGGTCAATTTAGCTCAATTTGCATATACTTGATCTGTTCGAAAAAAAGAAAGTTCAGAAGAAGTTTTGGCAAGGTTAGTTTAGATCCAAAAGCGAGTATGTTGGGTTAGCTTCATTATTTGACTGAAGTACTCAACTGATGGCCCATGTTATTAAATATAATCTAGTGTGTGTGTGTATCCTAATTCTCGTTTGTGACTTGGAGTAATAGTAAATGCTCATTTGATAATGAAATTATATGTAAGAATATCTAAGATAAACAAGGGGATGGTAAAGTATAAAAAGAGAATCAATATCTTGAATTTCTAAAACAATAATTGTAAATATTTTGAATTTCTTTTTAGTCATCCAGAAATTGAGAAATGATAATTAGAAAAGAAAATTAGAGATTATAGAGTAGATCTAAGACTATAATAAGAAAAATCTTATTAGATCTAAAAATATTTGATTAGAATATTATAAAAAGCTTGACAAATTTACTTTAAAAAAAAAAATTTCATCCTGGTAACATATAAGTTAGAGATTCTGCCCCTATCATTATAATCCTGTGGATTAAATTTAATTTGTAAATCTCATATTTAAATATATCTATATTTTATTGTCAAAGATTTCAAATATATTTGTATTAAATTTGATAAAAATATTTCGAATAAACTGCGGTTTAAATCTTTATTATTGAAGTGTCTTATATTTATGTTTTTTATTTTAACATTATTATATTCTTTTTAATGCTTATTTCTTGATATATCTTATATTTATATCACTATATATATGTATGATATTAGTTTAACATTATTGGACAGTATTTCTATATTATTATTACTATTTAGGTTTTGAGGTATGTATTAATTTTCTCTAATTACATACTTAGATGGCAAAAATTGCTGGTAAAAAAAAGGAGGGAAAATTGAGAGGGAAGGTACTGAAAGATAGAGTGTGTGTGAGAGAGATGTGATATAATTAAAAGTGAGATAATATATGTGAGAGAGAGGTATTATAATTAAAAGGAATAATTTTAATAATTAATTTATCATTTTAATGCTAAGTATATTTTCTATAATAACAATTTCATTTTATAATTTTTTTACTGAAGAAACATTTAATTAGATTTTATATCTATATGTGTGTGAAAAATCTTGCCCCTCCAAAATATTCGCATGTTCCCTCCCTCCGTTTGCAAAGGCAAAATTCATTTTCTCTCCACAAATATCACAAATTTGCTCTCTTTAGGATTTTTTTCTAATTTCCTTCTTTTGAAAAATTACAAGAATCGCAAGAGGAGGAGCAAGACCACTTCTAAGGGTTTCCTCAATGCCTAAGGGTTTATTTCTCTGATGAAACCCCTTCACCATCGTCTGCCAGTCCAGCAAAGGCGCCTCCAATCCTCCACTCCTACTCTTCTTCCATTTCTCCTCCTCAGGTCAAATCGCGCCTGAATGTGCAGGTTTTGAGACTCAGAGTGTCGGCCTTCCGTTCGCGTTGTTGTGTCCGTTCACATTCTTCGGTCTCCTCTTCAAAGTTTAGATTCTATTCCATTCTATCGGCCTCCTCTATTTTCATCGTCAGCGTTCAGATTCGTCACTGGGTAGCTTCTTGGCATTCTATTTCTTGTTTTCATCTTCTGGTTCAGATTCCCTTTTAGATTTCATTTTATTTGTGGGTTACTTTTTATTTCAAGGTTCACATCTCCCTTCTAGTTTTGTTGAAAATATTTCTATTGGTACTAAGTGATTGCCTTTTAGTACTGCCTTGACTAGTGACATTGCAGAGGATTAGCACTTCATTTGGTTGATTGGATTCTCTGCAATTCATTCTGGGAGATGGAAAATGAAGTACACATTTAGGCAAGCTTTAATGTATACTGGTCTTTGATATATATGTTTTTTTATTGGAGTTTTATATTTATTGTTGTATACAAACATTTGTAATTCCCAACCCTTATTCGTAACTTCTGTAAATTGGGCCTTTTTGCTTTCATTTGTTTTTTTTGGTTATCCGTTTTATATTTATCGTTGTATTATTGGAATTGGCTTCTATCTAAGAAAGCTCATTCTTCAAGCTATCAAAGTACAAACATCTGATTGTGTTGTTGCTTCCATATTACATTTATCATAGTCGGTGGATGAGTGTTGTGTAATGGTGATGACACAAGTATTTGGTTGCTCTTGACGTAAAACTCATGACATGAAAATGTTGCAAGTTAATCATAAACATGTGGTAGGACCAGGTAAGGCTTGCAAAGCACACAACCGAAGCATGGATTCCCTCTCTCACACATCAAATCTCACGAAAAGTTTTATGAACATCTTCTGACATTTCACAATAATTCGTACCATATTTTGCACAGATAGTTATATAAAAATCACACTTCGAAACTATTTTCTCAAGGTATGTCATAAACATCATACTCTAGAAATCAATTACAAAAATTATACTAGCAGACACAGTAAGTGAAAAGTAGTTACACCCACCAAAGGCAACAAGATTACCACAATTTGATACATCCCACACAAAGCAATAATCAGTCTACATACTTAGTCCATAATACATGTACTAGTTGGATAATTAACTCAATTACATAAGTTTCCAACTTTTGCCTACAAATTGCCAAATTTCACCATAAACCACAATTAATCCTTCCAACACAATTTTTCATCCTTCCTCAATCGAAATAGCTTGACAGAATCCTCAATTAGATTCACGTTGTTGCAGTTAATCAAAGTACCCAAATTCCCATTCTAGGGTTTCCATCCAAAATATCTATTTCCAAATTTCAAGCTTAAACAAAAAAACCAAGTCAATAGAACTTTAATTGTAAGTTAGAAAATCAACCAAATCATGAATTTCCAAGTTTACATGGTCAAATCGATCCTTTACCCATCATAATGGTCAAAACCATAAGACAGCCAACATGGAAATTCAGATAAATCATACGCTAACATTTCCAATATCATGGTTCAGCAATATTCCAGAAGAAAGGTACACACATCAATAAAAGATAATCACTAGCTAGGTTCCTCACACTGCGAAGCAAAACATATTCCCTTAAACTTGGAATGTCACTTTTAATTATATCATTTGATATTGTAATCAATATGCTGATGCTCTTGCTAAATTTGCACAAACACCTATCTAGTTGTTAAATTACTATAGTCCCATTTTAAACCGAAAAAAAGCCTAATAGAAAGTACATGTGTGGATAACACATTATTTCTCAAGACAAACTCACTATGATGATAACTAAACGATTCTTATTGATACCATTTCAATGCGTGTTCAACTTTGAGTTTTTGTCCAAGATGCAATGGGTAGCCATGAATTTAGCACCAAAAGATATGCAAAGTTGTACAGATTTCCTCTTTTAACGAGAATTATGGATGTGATTTGAACCTTCTGTCTTCGTCTTCATCCCCTATTAATTGCCCTTCATTGAGTCTTCCAAACGAGGAGCATCCTGCGTTTACCACAGTACATGCATACCAGAGTTCACTCCATAGATAAGATTACTTTGTAATGTTCAACTCTGAATACCACCTTAATACAATGAAAAACTAAAACATTTATTTAGTTTCACCTGTGTCGTCCTCAGCATCGGAGTCATCTGCAATAACAGCACACAACAAAATTACTTGCTGATAAAACAAATCAGCCCAAAAAAATATAGATCAAGAGATGTAAGGGTAATAGCATAATGCAAAAAGAGGGTCCCCTCATACCTCCAATTTGTCAGACCACATAAGCCGTTTACTTTGTTTAAAATTAATGGCTAGTTGTGGGTCAGTAAAATAATGGGAACCACAAACATAATGTCACTAGAGGAGTAAACTAAGAGAAAAGCACTAATAGTCTAGTACATCAAGTAACCAAGAGCTTTAGGTAAGTTTCATTCTCATAAAAACAAGCATCTTGTTAGCGTCTACCCTAGTGGGCCTATGGGCCAAAATCCCAAGGTCAACTAGGTTAAATCTCTACAATTAATATCAATAGTCAACTCTCCATTAAATTCCTGATTATGTGTGATATGATTCTGTTATTATTACTCCCTATTTCCTGGGCTAGCATCTCGGATCTTTAATCTCATTTGATTGATATTCTGTACCTATTTATACCCTGTACATATCAGAATAATACACAGCTTTCCAAGCATCAAACTCTCCCTCTTTCTTTTATTTTAAACTTCACATATATTTTATGATTTCATTCAATAATAAGAAGGGGCCAAAGATTTTTTTTGATTGTGTCATCTCAAGTATTATACACTAATTATAAATAATACCATTGCTGAGAATGATCACACATTATGCTCTAGCATCTCATGTTGGGGGAATGCAAAATATTTTGAAGATAATCTGGGGCATAATTGCCACCATTCCTGATAGAACTTCGATGATCAAAATGAATCTTACTTCCATTATATTCACCACAATCTACTATTTGAATAGGCATGAAGGGACCATATCTTTCAATCTTCGCAAGTGTTTCAAGCCCTTGGATAAGCTTCCCAAAGACCACATGAGTCCTACCCAAGATTCCAAATGATGGGATTAGTATATTATGCACTTCTACCAAAAAGGGGCAAAAATTAAAACACAGCTCCAAGAGTTAGCCACACAAATGAACCTGTCAAGGTTATCATCAGGTTTCAAGGTGATGACAAAATGAGAACGTCCATCTTTGCGATCATTGGTCTCGATGGATAAAAGACCTCTTTCATGATGCCCAAGCTGATTGTCTGTTTTCGGCTCATCTGACATAAATCACAAGAACAATGTAGAAGCTCTATTCCTCAAACTGAAAATAAATAGTCAAAAAATTTCAAAGCTTTTTAAAAGTATGTCTCCAGTATCCAGCATTCTCACCTGGAAATTTTGAACCATATATGCTTTCTCCGCCTGTCGCTGCAAAACCAATTGGAAATAAGATGCAAAGGTGTAAGGGTAGACATTACATCTAGGAAGGAAAGAAATTTTTTAGCAAGGTTGGAAAATTATATAAAACTGGGCATTAGACCAGCCAAACGTTATGTTATAATTGAGAAGAACCGCTAGGGTCATAAAACGCAATCAATATGATACAGTATCAAGAGGATCCTTCAAAGAAGGATTTATAGACAAGTAAAACATAAAACAGTATTTTATATAGAATGAAGATTGAAGATTTCCATATACAATGATCGACATGAATACCAGCAGTAGATAATCGGTTAAACTTAGGAATTCCAAACAAAGGCATAGTTTAACCACTCGTTTAGAAAGACGTCTAATAGAATATAAGAATATCTATATTAGAAGATTTTAAATTTATTATTTCTATGCAAGCTGGCTTTTCTTAGAGTTTAAGTGTTAGCAAGTTGTCATTAAATTTCCTTCTAGTAAAGGAAACCAAATGGGATTTTGCTTCTGCATTTTATTAAGAAGTTGTCATCACGATTCCTTCTAATGGGGGAAACCAAATTTGATTTTGTTTCTATTTTATTAGGAAGTTGTCATCAAGTTTTCTTCCAGTGGAGGAAACCAAATTTGATTTTGCTTCTAATAGCATGTTGTCATCAAGATTACTTCATAAAGAAGGAAATTGGAGTTTATGAAATCTCCCGCTCTTCAAATTCTCCCACTCACTCCCTAAATTCTGTTCTATTCTCCCTCAATTTCTATTCTCTCCCCCCTTGAGTCTATTCCTCCCTCTATTTCTCCCTCTCTCTTCTTTTTTTCTACACCTTCCTCCGCCATAATCTCTCTCTGTTTTTATCATTCTCCCAAAAATCTCCTTTGTTCTGCATTAGAATTGAGTGTGTTTGTGTGTGAGTGTTGCGCATCATCTTAAACGACAACATTTTTAATCAAAAAACAAAAATGATCCAGCAAAAATCCTCAACTGCTGATCTTAACCCAATTTACTGTTTATCAACCCAAATGGCTCAAAGACAATAAGATACAAAATTTACTTCAAATATAACAGTATCTAACACAAAACGTACATCACGGTGCATTATTCACAAGCAGCTAACTTTGTGGCTCAATTTTCAAATTCTGTGCTACGCACAAAAAAGAAATCTACTTCTATTTAACCAAGAATTAGTAATAATTAGAAATCACCAAGTAGTAATAGTAATAAAAAAGCTATAATTACTTCATCTGATGACCCAATGAAATGATGAAAATACACGAGATTATGAGATTGGCCACTTCAAAAACATAAAAGTGTATAAATGTATTGCATCAAATTATGTTGGAAAGACAAAGCCCAAGGCCCAAGTCAAATAAACTTAGTGTTACTTGTTAAGTAGTTTTTTAGTTTACTCATTTATCTTTTCCGTCTTAGATCAGATAGGGATAGATAGCAATATCCTATCTTGAGTTATCCTTGTTCGGTTATATATATGATGTATTCCTACTCATTCAATATACAATAAAAGATAGAATCATTCCGTCAACTTCATGGTATCAGAGCAGGTGCGATTTCGGCCCTGTGTATCGCAATTTAGAGAAGACGCATGAAGCCGCCCTGCGACCAGAGGGACTCGGCGAACTCGGCGACGTGTCGGGGACCTGTACCAGCGACCTGAAATCTCCTCGCGATCAGAACGATTCGGCAACCTCGACGACGTGAACCAACACTAACCCGCGACCCGTGACCCGCGACCGCGACCAGAGGTTCTCGGCGAACCCTTCGACGCGAACCCACAGTGACTACTGTTCCTCGACGCACCCAGAAGTTGCGACTTGAAGACGAACTCGGCGACGTGAACAACACTGACTCGCGACCAGAGCTACTCGGCGAACTCGGCGACGTGAACCTACAGCGGCCACTGTTCTTCGACGCACCCAGAAGCAGACGACAATGACACTTGAGGAATTTCCACCCCTGTTCGGATCAATGAGACGCACTGGAGGAAATTCCAACTCGCCACCCACGGCACTGACAACAGGTATATCATCACAGCAATCCGTTTCCTCTTCATCTATGGGAACCGAGTCGGTAACCTCTAATGAGACACAACAAATGATAATTGCCCATAAATTAAATGGAAGCAATTACCTACAGTGGTCTCAAAGCGTTCTCATGTATTTAAGAGGAAGAAGAAAGGAGGAATATATCACGGGAGAAGCCCCACAGCCAAAACCGGGTGATAGTAATTATAATACATGGTTTGCTGAGAACAACCTTGTAATGACTTGGCTGTGTAACTCGATGACTGTAGAGATTAGTGAAGGCTACCTACTTGCTAATACAGCAAAAGAGATATGGGACGCAGCAAGAAGAACCTATTCTGCCATAGACAACACTGCAGCACTCTTTCATATCAAGAAACTGCAAAGAGAACTAAAACAGGGTTCTATGACTGTAACTCAGTACTATACTGCCCTTACGCGCTTGTGGCAGCAACTGGACATGTTTGATGTCCATGAATGGAGTTGCAGTAGTGATGCTCAATTATTTAGAAAAATAGTTGAGAAAGAAAGGACCTATGAATTTTTGCTCGGCTTGATAGATGCATTTGAAGACGTGAGAGGAAGAATTATGGGACTGAAGCCACTGCCATCGTTGTTTGAAGCATTCAACATGGTAAAATGTGAAGAGAGCAGGAAGCAACTCACTCAGAATGTATTTACGCCATCAGAAAACTCTGCCTTGACAGTGCAAGGCAGTAATGTACCTGAACCAAGAGGAAGGAAGAATTCAAAAGGCTGGTGTGATCATTGCAACAAAAATGGTCATACGAGGGACATATGCTGGAAGCTGCACGGCAAACCGGCTAATCTAAAACAAAGAAGAAGACCTGAAAGCAAGAGCTATTCTGCAGTAGTTGATAAGGAGAAGAATGGAGAAACCTTAAGCCGAGAAGAATTACAAGTACTCAAACGGATCCTTGAGAGACACAATAACTCATCCGTAACTCCAAAGGCAAATCTGGTAAAGTCAGGTAATTCTATCATAGCTCTAAACGCCATAATGACCAATGATAACACTTGGATCGTTGACTCAGGAGCTACAGATCATATGACCGTAATAAATCCTTATTCCAAACTTTAAAGTATTGTCACCACGAGAACCTAAAGGTGAAAGTTGCAAATGGAATATTTTCCAAAGTCTGTGGTGTTGGAACTGTCAAAATTCTTGAGAAATTAGAACTGCAGAATGTTTTATTTGTCCCAGAACTGGCATGTAATTTGCTTTCAGTAAGCAAAGTAACCAAGAGTCATCAATGTAGAGTGATTTTTGACGATGTTGGTTGTGTTTTTCAGGATTTGACAGCGAAGAGGAGGATTGGCATTGCTAAGGAATGGGATGGACTCTATTATCTTGAAGGCCCAGATAAATATGTGAGCAAGGCATTATTTAGTTCAGATTCTTTGAATAAAGATGTATTACTTTGGCACTCTAGGCTAGGCCACCCCAATTTTGGTTATATGAAACACTTGTTCCCAGACTTATTTAATAAAAATTCAGCTCCTTTTTTGTGTGAAACCTGTCAGCTTGCCAAACAAACAAGAACCTCCTATCCTAAACAATCTTATAAACCAACAGCACCATTCACCCTAATACACAGTGACATTTGGGGACCCACGAGAATTAAATCAACCTCTAATGCTAGGTGGTTTGTAACTTTTATTGATGACCACACTCGAGTGACTTGGGTATACTTGATGAAAGAAAAATCTGAAATTCTTAGAGTCTTCAAAGGTTTCCATGCTTTTATAAAAACTCAATTTCAAGGGGTAATTAAAATATTAAGAAGTGACAATGGGCGAGAATACCTTAGTACAGCCTTTAAGGAATTCCTGGACCAGCAAGGAATCCACCATCAAACTTCATGTACTTACACACCGCAACAAAATGGGATTGCTGAGAGAAAAAACCGACACCTCCTAGAAATAACTCGAGCCATTATGATTGCCCGAAATGTTCCAAACTCATTCTGGGGAGAAGCCATTCTCACTGCAACCTACCTGATCAATAGAATGCCCTCGAGAGTCCTGAATTACCAAACCCCTATACAAAAATTGCTTGAAACCTACCCTAGTTCACCCTTAGTCTCGGACATTCCCTTGAAAGTATTTGGCTGTGTGGTATACATACACCATAATGATGGTAACAAGCTTGAGCCCCGAGCACTAAAATGTATCTTTCTTGGTTATTCCCCGTCTCAAAAGGGATATCGATGTTATTGTCCGACAACAAAAAGGATCTATGTCACTAAAGATGCTGTTTTTTCTGAGGACGACGCCTATTATCCCAAAATACCCATTCAGGGGGAGAATTATAACGAATGGCTAACTCCAGATTTCACTGCAACACACCTAAACATCGACATCCCTACCAATTCACCTACTACTGTCCCTGAACCTGAGCCAATAAACAATCTTGAATCAACAATCCCACAACACCAGAACTCTCAACCTAACCACACCAACTTGGGAACAAGTGCGGAACAGCAGCAAAACACTGAGTCAGATGATGCAGATGAGCAACAAGAAAATAGAGTCCCTTCCACTCCAAGGCATAACCAGGACTCTGACCCAATGTTAAATCCTGATGATCTTGGTTGGCCTATTGCTCTCAGAAAAGGTGTAAGATCTTGTACTCAGCATCCAATTAGTAAATTTATTTCATATGAAAAATTATCACCAAAAATGCAGGCATTTACTACAAATCTCTCAAATGAGAGAATACCAAGGACATTCCATGAGGCAATTGAGAACCCAAATTGGAAGCAGGCTGTTAAAGAAGAATTGGAAGCTTTGAAGAAAAACAAAACATGGGAAGTTACTGATTTGCCCCCAGGAAAGAAGACAGTGGGTTGCAGATGGGTATTTACCATAAAATACAATCCAGATGGAAGCATAAGTACAAGGCCAGGCTTGTAGCCCGGGGATATACACAGTCTTACGGAATCGACTATCAGGAAACCTTTGCCCCAGTAGCAAAACTCAACACCATTAAGGTCCTCCTATCAGTAGCAGCAAATCTAGAATGGCCTCTCTACCAGCTAGATGTGAAAAACGCTTTTCTAAATGGGGATCTCGAAGAGGAAGTATATATGGAGATACCAGCCGGATTACAGAATTCCAGTAATCGTTCTCCAAAGGTGTGTAAACTGCAGAAGTCATTGTATGGGCTGAAACAATCCCCTCGGGCTTGGTTTGGGAGATTTTCTCGTACCATGAAAAAAATGGGATACTCACAAGGCCAGTCAGATCATACCCTATTCATAAGGCATGCAGGCAACCGAATAACTGTCCTTATAGTATATGTGGATGATATTGTAATTACAGGAAATGATGAGGCTACCATACAAAGACTGAAGAAATCCCTGGCAACTGAGTTTGAGATGAAGGATCTTGGACAACTAAGATATTTTCTCGGGATGGAGATCGCTAGATCTAAAAAAGGAATTAGTGTCTCCCAGAGGAAGTACACTCTTGATTTACTGCAAGAGACTGGGATGCTTGGAGCCAAACCTGCAGAAACTCCCATGGAGGCTGATTGCAACTTAGAATACAAAGCGGATGGTGTACCTGTCGACACAGGAAGGTATCAAAGGCTCGTAGGAAAACTTATCTACTTAGCCCACACTCGTCCAGATATAAGTTATGCTGTAGGGGTAGTAAGTCAATTCATGAATAAACCCCAAGAGCATCATATGGACGCGGTTCAGAGAATTCTGCACTACTTAAAAATGAATCCAGGAAAAGGATTGTTTTTTGGAAAGGATGGGTCTAGAAGTATAGAAATTTATACTGATGCAGACCATGGAAGATCTTGGTTGGATAGAAGGTCCACCACAGGGTACACTACTTTCTTGTGGGGTAACCTAGTGACTTGGCGAAGTAAGAAGCAACCTGTGGTTTCAAGAAGCAGTGCTGAAGCAGAACTAAGAGCCTTGGCTCTCGGAGTCTGTGAAGGGATCTGGATAATCAGAGTTCTAAAAGAGTTGAGACTCATACACAATGCACCAATGAAACTATGGTGTGATAGCAAGTCAGCTATAGAAATGGCTAGAAACCCTGTACATCATGACAGGACAAAACATGTTGAAATTGATAGACACTTCATCAGGGAGAAAATTGAAGAAGGCACCATTAAGTTGTCCTACGTCAGAACCAAAAGTCAAGTAGCAGATTTATTCACTAAGCCATTACCGAGGAATTCGTTTGAAGAACTAAAGAGCAAGCTGGGAATGATCAACATTTATTCTCCAGCTTGAGGGGGAGTGTTGGAAAGACAAAGCCCAAGGCCCAAGTCAAATAAACTTAGTGTTACTTGTTAAGTAGTTTTTTAGTTTACTCATTTATCTTTTCCGTCTTAGATCAGATAGGGATAGATAGCAATATCCTATCTTGAGTTATCCTTGTTCGGTTATATATATGATGTATTCCTACTCATTCAATATACAATAAAAGATAGAATCATTCCGTCAACTTCAAATTATAAGCTCCAGAATTAGTCAAGTGTGCCATCCTAAGATCAATGCATCAATAGAAAATGTACCATATTGAAAGCAATAAGCACCTCCCTGCAAAAGGAAAACCAGCTATCAGTACATAGTCATGATACCACATTACATACAAAACAAGTTTGGCCATTACAAAGCCTATTTAGCATTATAAGATGGACAACTTGGAAAGTACAAACTGAAAACTATATCAGTACATACCTTCACATAATTTTCTTGATTAACGTCATGAAAGAAAGCACGCTTGTACCACAGAGAGTCTCCAGTTTTTGAGCTGACTCCCTTTTCTCCTGAAAAAAGAAGATTAAATTAGAAATATGGAACCCATATCATGAACCAAAAAATCAAAACAAATCAGCATATCCAATGACTTATTCAATCAGTGAGACTGTAACTGCAGCACAACAGGTCTTAATAGAAGTATATAACAAAATCAAATTACTACCTGTACATAGCGCACGGAAATTTTCTGCAGCAAAGGGCGCAATGTCATAGTATAGCTGAGCAGATGAAAGAATTTGTCAGGTTGCATTTCTACCCTCCTCAAAGTGAAAGTGGCAAAATTCAAACAATAAAACCTCCCTTATCATCGATTGTGACAATCATTGTAATTCAAAATCAAAAGTACTAAAAAGAAAACAGCTACCTCAAAAATCATCCTTTGATGGCTGTCGCTGCATATCGAGACATCCACATAAACAAGGGGATTCATGTCTTCCATTGTCTTCCTTTTCTGAATCAGAACTCAAGCCAATAAAACCATTAGGTCACAAAAGTCAACAAAGAGACACCAATTAATTATCAATATAATGTAATGTAATGTAATAATTTAATGATATTATATAATATCACATTTGTAGGAAACATTGATACTAGCACATATCAAATCAAGCCCAGTTTAGTCTCACACATGACATCCAACTCACATACCAATCCCTCCTCAACCATTTCCAACCATTGATGATGATGACCTCTAAAAGGACTAGCACCAAAGTTCAGTAAAAACTTTCAAGGGCTTAAAAACGGGCCCTGATCACCAACGAATTATTCCACACCAAAGCATTCACAAAGGAAAGCGCTTGGTAATAATCAACTTAGATACAATCAGCACTGCGAAACATAATTTGTTACGATATTTGAAAAAGAAAGGAAAGAGAGGGAGAAGAGTAGGAGAAACAGAGAGACAGAGAGAGAGAGAGAGAGAGGTACTGAGAATACTGAAGAGATTGAATATTCACTGAAAACAAACATCATAACATACAATTGATTTAGGAACCCCTTTATATAGGTTAGCTCCCAACGGCTAGTTCATTAAACTACCTGGAATCAACTAACTAAACTAACTAACTGTAACTAACTACTTCTTATATTTTTAATATAACAATGCCCCCCCCCCTCAGAAGATCCTTGCCCTCAAGGATCAATAATCTGAAAATCTGGAAATTGGTTCTGTAAACTGAATAATGATACCCAAGTCGCCTCTTCATCAGGAAGTCCCTTCCATTGAACCAGAACCTCTGTAATAATCCTTCTTTTCTTTCTGCCAACCCTCTTGTTTAATATTTTTTCTGGATATAGAGTGGTAGGGATTGCTGGCCAGTCAATAGGTGGATGTCTCTGCTTAACACTTGGGTCTGGACAGAGTTTAAGCATTGAGACATGGAATGTAGGATGAATTCTGGATTCAGAGGGTAATTCCAGACGGTAAGCAACAGCACCAACCTTCTTTAGAATTCTGTAGGGACCAAAGAATCTAGGAGCCAGCTTTTGAGAGCTTCTAGTTGCAGCTGAAATCTGCCTATAAGGTTGCAATTTAAGAAAAACCCATTGGCCTTCTTGAAACTCCCTATTTGAACGCTTTAAATCTGCCATTTGCTTCATAGTATTAGCAGCCTTGTGTAGATGATGCTTTAGGACAGCTACCATTCTTTCCCTAGCTTCAAAACTTCTGTCAATAGTTTCAACCACAGCAGATCTAGGGATGTAGGGAACATATATTGGAGGTTTCTGCCCATACAACAACTCATGAGGTGTAATTTTAGTAGAAGTGTGAAAATTAGTGTTGTACCACCATTCTGCTAGAGACACCCAAGAACTCCACTCCTTAGGGCTTTCCCAACACATACAACGTAAGTAGGCTCTAAGCATCGGTTTAAGACCTCTGTTTGACCATCACTTTGAGGATGGTAAGCCGATGTAAGCTTTTGTTCCACCTTTAGGACCTTAAGGAATTCTTTCCAAAAGTTGCTGATGAAGATTGGATCCCTATCACTTATGATTTCAACCGGGGCTCCATGTAACTTATACACTTGGTCTAGGAAACATTGAGCAAGAGTAGATGCTGTATAGGGATGAGAGAGGGGAATAAAATGGGCATATTTAGTCATTCTGTCCACTATAACCCAAATAACTTCCTTATTTCCAGATTTGGGTAGACCCTCAATGAAATCCATTGAAACACTTTCCCAAACCTTACTAGGGACAGGTAGGGGCTGCAATAAACCTGGAGATGCAGTAGTCTCATATTTACAGCGAGCACAAGTATCACAACCCTTAACAAAGTCCTGCACATCCCTATGCAGATGTTTCCACCAAAACAGTCCCTTAACTCGTTGATAGGTGGCTTGAATTCCTGAATGACCCCCTTGTGGACTAGCATGAAGCCACTCCAATAATTTCTGCCTTAATGAAGCATCATTTCCCACTGGAAGTTTGTCTTTCCTCCTTAAGTAAGTGCCATCCCACGTGTATTTTCCAAGAGCAGACCCCTTCCTTTCAATTTCAGAAATAATGGCAGCCAAATCAGCATCATTCTTCCAACTTTCCTGAATCTGATTCATTAATTCTGGAGAAGTAGTGTCAAGGGACATCTGTAACAGCTGTGAACTAGGTAGTCTTGACAAGGCATCAGCTACTGAATTATCATTTCCCTTCTTGTACTGAATCTCATAATCATACCCCATCAATTTAGCTATCCAATACATTTAAAAAGGGGTCTTTAGCTTCTGTCCAAGCAAATATTTAAGGCTTTGCTGGTCTGTTCTGATTACAAATCTAGTTCTTTCTAGATATTGGTGCCAATGTTCCACTGCTTGCACCACCGCCAGCAATTCCTTCTCATAGATAGAAAGATTCAGATGCTTGGGAGCCAAAGCTTTGCTGAAAAAAGCTATCGGTTGGCCTTGTTGCATAAGAACAGCGCCTATACCCAAGCCACATGCATCGGTTTCCACAATAAATTGCTTAGAAAAATCTGGTAGAGCAAGAACGGGTGCTGTAACTAGGGCATTCTTCAGCTTGCTGAAAGCTGTAGTGGCAGAATCATCCCACTTAAACCCATTTTTCTTGAGAAGTTGAGTTAGGGGCTTAGCCAACCCTCCATACCCTTTAATAAATCGCCTATAATAGCCAGCCAAGCCTAGGAAAGCCCTTAGGTGCTTAAGAGACTGAGGAATAGGCCAATCAGCAACTGCTTGAATTTTTTTAGGGTCAGTAGAAACTCTTCCATTGCTTATAATGTGTCCCAAGTACTCGACATTCTTGGCAGCAAAAGTGCACTTGGATTTCTTCACAAAATAGTGGTGTTCCCTTAGAATTTTGAAAGCTTGAATCAGGTGCTCCACATGATCTGTCAAGGAAGAACTATAAATCAGTATATCATCAAAGAAAACCAAAATAAACTTTCTTAAAAATGGTTTAAAAATACTGTTCATAGCTCCCTGAAAAGTTGCAGGGGCATTAGTCAATCCAAATGGCATTACTAGCCACTCATAATGCCCTGCATGAGTTTTAAATGCAGTTTTATCTACATCTTCAGGTACCATTCTGATTTGGTGGTATCCAGCTCTTAGATCCAGTTTAGTGAACCACTTGGCAGCCTGTAATTCATCAAGTAAATCCTCAATGAGAGGGATTGGGTACTGATTTTTTATAGTTTTCTTGTTCAGCTCCCTATAGTCAATGCACATTCTCCATGTGCCATCCTTTTTCTTAACCAAAACAATGGGTGCTGAAAATGGTGAGGAGCTGTCTTGTATAACCCCATTCTGCAACAATTCCCCAACTAATTTTTCAATGACATCTTTTTGAGCTGAAGGGTATCTATAAGGTTTTAAGCTTATAGGGTCAGCTCCTTTCTGCAAAACAATGGGGTGGTTATGACCCTTTCTCAATGGGGGAAGACCTTTTGGCTCCTCAAATAGGTCAGCAAAATCATTTAGAGCCTCTTGTACTTCCTGTGGGACCCTTTCTTCTACTTCTTGAATTGAAAGACACTGCTGCAATTGCTGCCCTTGTGGTTGCAGCAAGTGAATCAAGAACATTTGCTGCTCTTGATCTCTCTTGTAACCCAGCTTCTTAGGTGGCACTATCATCATTGAATTAGGAGGGGTAGCTTGAAGTTTACACAGCTGCCCCTTGTACCAGAAATGCATAGTGAGGGTCTCATACTCCCAAAAAGCACTCTTAATAGTTTTGAGCCACTTTAGACCCAAAACAATATCATAGGTCTGTAGTTCTATGATTCTCAAATCACATGTAAAGTCCATGCCCTGCATACGCCATCTAAAACCATGCCAAATTCCATGCACCTTCAATCTTCTACCTCCTGCAACCTGAACAAAAGAAAAATCAGTACCACTATCCTTCCATCCTAATTTTTGAGCAAGGTTAAAATCTAGGAAATCATGAGTACTCCCATTATCAATTAGAACTTGAATACTCCTTTTGCCCACAAATCCTTGAATCCTCATGGCATCCGTGCTGTCAATCCCTTTAATTGCATGAAGGGATATGAGTGGCATAGAATCTTCAGCTTCCTCTGGTTCATTTTCCTCACAACCACTGATCTCCATTGGTTCTTCCATTTCAATGAAATGGAGCTGCATTTTCTGTCGCTGAGGACACTTATAGTCCCTTGAGAATTTCTCATGGCAGTAGAAGCATAGGTTCTTGGCCCTATGATCAGCTTCTTCTTCGGCCGTAAGAATCTTGGAATTCTTGTTAAAGTTCTTGAAGGCACCGTTTGTGTTTTTCTGGACAGTAATGGCAAGCTTATCTTTGTTTTGGGTGCTGCCATTAAGCAATGCATTCTTGTATGGGGTTGATGTTGCAAGAGACATGGACGACACTAATGAACCAGGGGCTACATATCTAGTTCCCCTTTCCCCTGTTTTCTTTTCTCTAATTCTGTCGTTGGTTATCTCCTGCATCCGGGCAAGGCTCTTAGCCTCTCTAATGGTTCTGGGCCTGAACATTCTAACGGGCCCAGATATTTCTTCCCGAATCAAAGAAAGATACGCATCAACCAGCAAGTCTTCGGCCAAGTCAAATTTAGAAGAACAAAGATCGAACTCAGAATTAAAGTCGGCCAGAGTCCCCAGTTGTCGCAGACGGAGAAGGTGCCCATCGGAGACTCATATGTAGGACCAAAGCAATCCTTTAATTCTGCGACGTAATCTTCCCAAGCTGGCAGAGCCCCTCGCCATCGCCGTTCGCACGCAATATGCCATCGGAACGCGTCTTCATCAAGGTGTAAGCTCGCCATTTTCACTTTCGCATCCTCGGGCGTATTATCCAATTCGAAATACCGTTCACAGCGCAAGACCCAGGCGACGACGTCTTGACGAGAGAATTTCGGAAATTCCATTCGAGTGAACTGCATCTGCCGAGGTCGCGCCGCATCGTGATTTGCATTTCTTGGTTTCGGTTCAAGATTCTGGGTTGCTC